TGTTAAAGTCTAATTGTACCACTGCCTCTGATTTATGGATGATTAATCACTCTTGCCATAATACACTTTTTTGTATTGCACCCAGATTACAAAGATGTTATGTTCGGGGGGGGGGGTGAATCATGCGTTGCTTATATGCAAAGCATTATGAAGCAACGAGTCAATAAGACACATGAACAAACTAAAGATACCCTTAGTTGTAACTGCTTTTATCAAATCAAAATAAAATAATAACTGTATCACTCAATGTCAAGCTAAACAAGTGTGATTAAAAACGAATTAAACATCTATAGATTACGAGATGCACTTGAACAGAGGTGGTAGAAGTACTCAGATCTTGTACTTGAGTAAAAGTAGAAGTACGTAGATCTTGTACTTGAGTAAAAGTACTCAGATCTTGTACTTGAGTAAAAGTACTCAGATCTTGTACTTGAGTAAAAGTACTCAGATCTTGTACTTGAGTAAAAGTACTCAGATCTTGTACTTGAGTAAAAGTAGAAGTACTCAGATCTTGTACTTGAGTAAAAGTAGACGTACTCAGATATTGTACTTGAGTAAAAGTACTCAGATCTTGTACTTGAGTAAAAGTAGAAGTACTCAGATCTTGTACTTAGTGAAAGTAGAAGTACTCAGATCTTGTACTTGAGTAAAAGTACTCAGATCTTGTACTTGAGTAAAAGTAGAAGTACTCAGATCTTGTACATGAGTCAAAGTAGAAGTACCAGAGTGTAGGAATACTCTGTTACAGTAAAAGTCCTGCATTCAAAATGTTCCTCAAGTGAAAGTAGAAAAGTATTGTCATCAAAATATAGTGAAAGTAACGACAGTAAAAGTAGTCGTTGTGCAGATTGGTCCATTTCAGAATAATATATATGATATGTTTTATAATGATTGATCATGAAAGTGTTCTCAAAGCTGGTGAAGGTGCAGCTAGTTTGAATGACTTTGTATACTGCAGGGTAGCTGGTGGATTTACTCCAGGTGGAACTAAAGTCTGATTCAACACTTGATTAGATTTCACATCATTCATCCACATCTGTGAAGTAACTAAAGGTATTAAATATATGTAGTGGAGGAAAAGTACACCATTTACCTCTGAACTATAGTGGAGTAGAAGTACAAAGTAGCATAAAATGGGTAATAGAATTCCCTAAGAATTGTAATTAACTACAGTATTTGAGTAAATGTACTTAATTACTTCACACCATTGCACATGAAGGCAACAGTTTGATAAGGTAATGTTTACTATCAGCATTAGCTAGCTAGCCATATCAAAATAGACTCAAATAATATTGTAAATAAAGCAATATTGAGTCGTTAGTGACAGAAAACCTTATGTAATAACCCCCTTTTTGTGGTTGTGTGTATGATAGCGGATATATATGGAAAAAGTCAATTCATTCATGGGTATTTATCCCCACGCCCTCCAGCAAATAGACGGAGCCCGGTGCTAGCTACTTCCAGCTTTAGCCGTTAGCTCTCACCTGTCCCTCGCTGACCGTGATAACTCCATCCTCTTTGGGTGATCAAAACGGCCCGAGTTCACAGTGTCCGAGTGGCCCTCGATTTTGTTTCAGAAGAACCGGTCTGGCGGTCTGAGGCCTCGAATGAATCTCGGCAGCCATGGTTTTTTATCCAGCAGTGTTTTTCCTTCAGCTTGTATTCTCCACAGTGAAGGAGGATCAGTGACACCCGGAGCCGTGTCAGCACTACCGTAAAGACTGTAGGATTACCGATGGAAGGGTTACCGTTAGTGGACTAGACATTACCGTAATGATGACCTGTACGATTACCGTAGTGACTGCCAAACCAGGGTTACCGTAGTGACTGGAGGGTTACCGTAGTGCAGGGGGTGTCAAACTCAAGGCCCGTGGTCCAAATCCGGCCCGCGACTGCATTTTATGTGGCCCGCAAGAGCTTGCAAAGAATATAATAGCCTACGTTCATTATTATACGGTTACTGCGCTCTTACAGAGGCATGTTGCCCATAAACTACATGTCCCACAATGCATCTCATTTATGACACTGAAGAGTCTTGCAATTATTTGCCCTAGACTTCTGCTTTTAGAGGTAGTTAAAGGTGGGGTAGGTAAGTTTGAGAAACCGGCTCGAGATACACTTTTTGTTATATTCCATGGAATGCTCTAACATCCCGATAGCAATGAATATCTGAAAGTGCTTTGACAAAAAATACATTAAAAAATGTAATCTGTGGAAGACGTAGGCTAGTACTGTAAAAAGCACGACCAATCATTTTAGCCAGCCCGGCTAAAATAACTGGATGGCCTACCTGCCTGTCAGCCTTCCATCTGTGCCCTCATTGGTCATGTGCGCGTTCGTGGTGTTGGAGGAGGGGCCTCTGTACGGAAGTGGCAGATTTGTTCCGGCTGTGTATTTTCCAAATTCTAGCGCACTCGAGCTGGTTTCTCCAAAATTACCTACCCCACCCTTTAATTATGAAGTTATTCCCTATACCCATAATAATCCAATGCAGAGGCATAATGTAATATCATACATTATTTATTTATATGTATTATATATGTATATATGTATATTTATAGTCTTAAAGTCAGGGCCCTCCCTGGCCAACTTGAGGCCCCACGCAAAGTTATATGATTAGCCTCTCTGTTTTGCGAGTTGTCAAATCGTGCCGCGCCCACACTAATTGCGCCGCATTTGTGCACCGCTTTTGGGCTGCAAGATGAGCCCCCCCCCGCAAGGTGAGGCCCCACGCAGTCTACAATTTTTGAAGGTGGCTTTAGGTACGAACTTTATGATATCTCTTTTACTCCACAACAATTTAGAACCAAATGTTCTGTTTACTCCATTACTTTTATTAGACAACATTAGTTAGTTTACAGATTTATATCTAATAATGTAATGACCACCCACTACCGACATGTCTGTAAGAAAGACACATTAGCAAGAATTCCATTAGAAATGAAGCTCAGCGCAAGTTCAACCAGGAAGACCTTCTTTACTCCATTCATTTACTATTTCTATGTTACTACTCTCTCTCATCTCTATAAGTGATCGTGGGCGTCACCTCCCAGTTTAACCAATCACTTCGCTCTATTCTCACAAGCCTATCATAGCGCTCCGCTAAACCTTTTAAATCTGCTCTCCCCCCTCTGACACCTGTTCATTTCAGGTGACTCGACGCAACCCTCCTCCACCCCTTTTTCACCTCCTGTCCCTCTGAATCCAGGGTCAAGCTAAGCCCCTCCCCTTCAGACCGACCCCCAACTATCCATTCACCAGGGTCTAGACCCCGGGGGTTTCATCGGATCGGTTCTCCCCTCCCGAATGATACTCCTGCACAACGGGGCCTAATCGCCCAAACTCCATTTACATTCATTTGTGTATTCCTGGCAATACATATGTATTCTTACAATCAAAACCGTCTGTCCTGATTGAAATACATATAGTTCTGTAAATAAATATAATTTTAAAAAGGTACTTGAACTCAATTTCTGTTTTTATATATAACAACTTCATGCTATAGCTTTATACTTCTACTTCACAACCAATTTGGAACAAGTCTATCCCAGAACCTTTTTCTAGCTGCACAAGTAAAACATTATTTAATTTAATTATCAACCAGTTATATTTTTCCAAAAATAACCATTTTGCAGTTAACACTTTTGGTACTTTGGGTGTATTTTAGGCTATTACTCAAGTGCTTTTTCATTTATTTAAGTAAAATACTAGTATGAATACAATGTGGGAAATGCAACAATATAATCATATATATTTAAGTTCAATAAACTATATTTGTCTGTTGATGAGATTGTGTTTGTGGAAGCTCAATATTCTGAAGAGGACCCTTTGTTAACAATAAAATGCTTTTGAATATTTTATCATAACTTGTTTTAGTCTAGACCTAAAATAAAATTGACAAAAATATGGAAAATAATGTGTTTTAAACAGGTTTGTGTAATAATATGTATCATTTGCTTAGGTATTCAACCTTCGACACAGTTCATCGTTTTCTCCTCTCACTGTCTCCTTTTCCCACGGCATCGGTCTACGGCTTGGGTATTGCTGCTATCTCTCTTAAGGAGAGGAGAGCTTGGTATTGCTGCTATCTCTCTTAAGGAGAGGAGCTTGGGTATTGCTATCTCTCTTAAGGAGGGGCAGCTTGGGCGCATTGTTGTTGCCAGTCTATGACAGATTACAAGCCGCCCTGAGGTAGTAGTTACTGTTCAGGGACGAAGGTTCCCTGGCGCACATTCTTTCCTATAGACGGACAGCTCTAGTTAGATTCAGGGTCCATATTGCTTTAGTCTCGCTGATGAAGAATGTTGATTATTACACTCTGAACTAGTTAAAACCTTGAGCTGCAGAAGAGTTCTTCAGAATTGGTTTGGCAGCCACTGTGTCAACTCGTGGCACACCACCTGTCTTGTGAATTCTCCGGGCGTAACTCCAAATAAACCGTCAGTGTTCGCCATCAAAGCTCCAGCTCTCCTCGTGTCTCTCAGTCCGGACTCCAATCGCTTCAGAAGTTCCCCCACAGTTAGTAATATAGTTTGAATGAGTGCACGTTAAACTAAAACGGGAAAAAAAATGAAAACATTTCTTTGTGAGAAATACTATAACCAAACATGAAGCAAAATCATTGATGTTTTAAATATGTGTATTTATTTGAACAAATATGGAAGCAAGTATGACAACAGAAGACTTTGTAAAGTAGCTGATGACAAGGCGCTCGAGGAGAGAAGCACTGAAACTCAGGAGAGACCCTCGATAACAAACTGGAGTCACGTGACTTGAGATGGATGATTTTAAACTGAAACAGCAACAATATAAATAAAACAGATTATCCTACTCCAGAGTTAAGAAAAAAAATACACAACTGACATTCAAAGTCTTTAAAAATGTAAGAAACACAAAAAAAGTATACAAAAAATTAAAACAGCAGGAAAAATCTGGTCTCTGCAAAACATCTTATAAAGCATTATGCGTCACAGAAAACGGAAAAACATAAAGCAAACCTTTAAAAAACAAATAAACATCACATGTCCACACTGTACATAAGTCTACAGCAAAGTGTGAGTGTGTGTGTGTGTGTGTGTGTGTGTGTGTGTTGTGTGTGTGTGTGTGTAAGGCGTTTCCCCATGACGACGATGACGCTGGTTCAAGGCTTGTTGATCTGGCCCATAAAGAGAATGGTACCTGGGACAGAAATAGAAAAAACCTTTTGTTAAATACAGCTTATTTTTATTGCAATATTTGATTTGTTTACACATTCTGAGACTGTGGGGCTCCCCTCGGACAGAGTTTAGTTCACTTGTTGAGCTTTACTTATTTTGGTTGCTTATGGAAAAGGTGCTGAACAATGTGCAGAAAAAAATTAAAAATGTTGTTGTGTGTCTACAGAAGGTCCAGTTGTGATAGACACGGTTCGCCACTGATGAATACATTATATACAATGAATAGTGAAATAAATGTAATAGTTTAATTACCTTTTTACATATCTTGCTGGTAGTTCAACTATAATCATATCTTGTATATCCATTCAAGTTAGTTAAATTACTTTTAACTACTTTTGTGTATATTTAGTTATCATATGACATATAAACACATTTTATGTTTTTTTTCAATGTAGTTTGGTCAAAGAAGGCCTTAGTAGCTTGTTTCATTAACTTCACTTATGTATCCCTCCATCAGGTTTTGAGTTCAAAGTCTCCCAGTATGAAGTCATTGGCTGCTTTCCAAACACATCTTGGTTACTCACTTTTAAAGTTGAGTAAAGAGATGTAAATGAGAGCGTACCTGTTGGGTTGTGTCTGATGAGGAAGAGAAAGGTCTGTCCATTGTGACCCAGGGTGGAGAGGACCGAGCCATCAAAATGGCAGCTGAAAAACAAAAGCAAAGACTTTGTGAAAACACGTATCAGTTAATGTGCTGTACGTCCGCTAGAATAGAGGTCAACAAACACATCATATGTGAGGTCTCCAAGACACTGATTAGAGGTGATACTCAATGGATGACATGTCCTTAATCTTTCTTTCCCCTCTTCAAAGCTGATTTATTTACATATTTATTATATTGTAGATGTATCTTACATTGTTGTGTATACCCTGTAACAATATCATTTCCTAAAATGACAAAAAAAAGACAATTAAAAAGTAAAAAACTAAGAAAAATAACACGGACTGAATTATTTGACATGGCCTATTTTTTTCTTTTACAATTCTAAAGTGTTAGTTATGTGGAAAATACACCCAAAATAAAAGTACAAGTAATATATTAGACATGTATTAAACATACTTGGAAATTGTAGTAGTTATATATTATAAGGGTTCAACAAATATCTACTATTTGTTGAACTATGAAGCCTTTTTGTTAAAATAAAAGATAATTGAAATGAAGGATTCTCTCATTTAACGCACAGACCAGATACTCACTAGTGGCAGCTGCTGCTTTTGTTCCGTCTTCATTCACGATCACTTTGGCTTTCTGCAGCGCCTTGGAGATATGCACCGCCTCCGCACCTGGAAAACAATCACTGTGAGTCACACCTTCATGTACATATCTTTTAATAACCAATCTAATACTGATGGGCTACATCTAGCATTAGAGAACTAAACTACCTACTTATGAGAATCTAAATTAAAATTAGCCAACATTGATTTTTTTGTTATCAAATTCACCAGTGCTGTTCACTGTGCCATGTCTTATGTCAGGGATGCCGCTTCATTTGATGTGGCAGAAGCATGTTTACAGAAGCACATTGCCCATAAACTATGTCCCACAATGCATCTCATCTTTTGACATGCGCACTGAAGACCTAGACTTCTGCTTTCAGACGTAGGTAATTATGAAGTTATTACCCAAAGCAATAATAATCCAATGCAGAGGAAATAATGTAATATAATTAATGCTGTCAAAATTATCGCGTTAACGGCGGTAATACATTTTTTGAATTAATTGCGTTAAAATATTTAACGCATTTAACGCATGTGCAGAATGGCCCGCCCCATACATCCCACCAGTGGCAGCGGCAGGGTATCGCTGGGGTAGGCTACACCCATACCAAGAAATGGCTTAGCCCCACCATGACAAATGATGTTAAAGTCAGCAAAATAAAGTCTGCCAACTCGCGGAGTAAATTGCACAGACAGCAGTTAGTAGTAAGATTGATTTCAGCCACTCGTCTGGAAATACCAAAGACGGTTTTGAAAACTTTTGTCACGTAGTGATCGTCTTCTCAATAGAACATCTTTGATAATGTCTTCTGGCCAATCGGAATCAAGATAACGATGTGGTGTTGTTGCAGGAAGTCCTGACGGAGAATACTTTTGCTGCATCTCTATACATCGATACAACATTACGTGTTGATAGAAATCAACACGTAATGAAATAAGACCCCACGGTTTGATGAGTGATAGGTGTGTGGGCTTTTGACACACAGAACAATGTTATAATAAACGTATGTTAAATGGATATATCCGCCTTCTTTCATTTATCTTTCCATTCCCACGACAATATACATAAAGAAATGGCATATGTTGGACATAGTTCGAATGGTGATTAATACATTTTTAAGCTGTGATTAATCTGATTACAAATTGCAATCGTTTGACAGCCCTAAATATAATACATTATTTTATATATCAACCATAATGCTAATGTGGCCAGCGAAGAAATTGAGTTTGACACCCCTGTCTTATGTGAAAAGGCCCACAGTGTATGCGTATTTATTTAACTGTTTGCTAAAGAAATGCATGAGGATATGACCTGCTGATAAAGACCCAAAATAAACATTACTGTCGATATTAAAAGGAAAAGCTCTCTCTTATTTGAATCTGATATGTAAGCGTGTCAGTTCATTACCCTAGAGCAGATTATATTTTCTGTACAGTTTTGTAAGCAACTTTAAGGATTTAGTGGCCACATTATGAGCATCTATTTCTGAATTAACAAAGTCAGTGAATACATGATTGAGTTGAATCAACACAACAGGAAGTCAAAGGGTATATGGTCATTTAGCGTAGGCAAAATAAGATGTCAATTCAACTACAGGAGAGACTTGGAGAAAACAAAGATGTCCATATATCGGAAAGTATTAACACATTAATCCTTTATCCTGCTGCAACACATCACTAAACGTATCAGACATGTCTTAAATAACCACACTACGAGAAAAACAGTGTTGTATTAGCTCTGGTGAATTAATATGTAAGTACTAGTATCAATGTGTTGCCTAATTTAACCACATGGTGGCACTAGAGCAACAACCCGTATGACTGGTTGATTGTTGTTCTGCAGTAACCCTATAAACCTGCAGATTTCACCACATGGCGGCACTAGAGCGTTACCGTTAGATCTTATTAAAGTCCATCATCCAGAGAGAAGAAATACTCGGACTGTTTTACTTCTAAGTTAGATTTTTAATGCGCAATATGGTGTTGCTACCTTTCCTTCAGTAAAATATATGGCAGGCTATCACCGGCTGCTGTAAATATGGGAACATGTTTTTTGTATTTCGTCTCTTTTGACTCACTGAGGTGTCTGAAGTCAGCTTTGTCCTGTCTGAACAGGTCTGTTATTCCCAGAGCAGAGAGGGGGGCTTCCAGATCCACCTCTGCATCAGCTGTGAACCTGCACACAACGAAACACAGTTAACTCAGTCAAACCGGTTGAAAAGCAGATGTTGCATGGGGGGGGGGGGGGGTGTCCTTGCATTACTCTCCTTGTAAGTTAGGCATGTGTTGGTTGTGGTTAAGGTTAGGATAAGTCTCTAGGAAATGCATGTAAGTCAATGTAATGTCCCCTGAAGTGATGTATACGTGCGTGTGTGTGTGTGTGTGTGTGTGTGTGTGTGTGTGTGTGTTACCTGGGGATGAACAGGCGGATCTTCTTCATGTGCATGAGTTTGCTCCAGCTCTTGACGGTGGCGGTGCTGATGTGAGGAAGGACTCTGGAGAGAGGGGTCTCCTCCTCTGAGGGCATCACCATCATCATGCTCATCGTGTTCCCGTGGTACGGGAGGTCGATCACTCTGTACTTCAGACCCTGAGGGGTGCTGGCCAAACCTGAGGAGGAGAGGAGGAAGAAGTTAAAGGGGTCCTATTCTGCTTTTTGGGGGTTTTCCCTTTCCTTTAGTGTGTTATATAAGCGCATGTAAATGATGCAAAGAGGTCCAGACGGAGTCTCTCTCCCACACTAAGGCAAAAGTATGGTTTTTATCTGTATTACTAAATACATCAAATGTGTTAATGTGTGTGTTATGTGTCTATAGTACAGGGATATATGTAATTTTCTATTGTGAATTTGCATAAACTTGCTACTAATCTTTATATTATATTCGTACCAACAGTTATTGAAAAAATAAATTTCTTTTTTTTTTTTACACCCAATTTTATTTTTTATAGGATATGTACATTTCGGTTAACCGTTTTTTGGGGGGGCGAATATTCGAATATACATTTGCTTTCAAATTCCCATCCCTACTATCTATCCATCTAATATGGTCCAATTACCAAATAATCGATAGCTGCTGCTGCTATAGTCAGGATGGTTGTAATGATGAAATATACTCGAGTCTAGATTTGTACAACGCCCCTCGTTATAAATAACAAGTAAGGATAATTCCATCCATTCTCTCAGGATTTTCTGTTGAAGAAACTTCCTGTTTTTGACACTATTTTCTTGTTCTCTGACCGCGGTGGCTGTTCAGTAGGGATGGGTATCGTTACATGCGTTTCCATGTCGGCCTCGTGTGGCCGAACCGTCTATATCAGGGGTGCCCAATACGTCGACACAGATTGGGCACGGCTACCCTGTAGGTAGATCTTTTGGGCGTGGTCATTTTAAAAGTAGGTCCCAAGCTGAAAAAGTGTGGGCACCCCTGGTCTATATGATAGTTATCGTCCTCGTGTGGCTGGGGCCTTAGTCTCAAGTTAAGAATACAAAATGAACGGCTTCACTTAGATGTGAAAGTTGTTTTTTGGCCAAAGAAAAGCACATAAAGTCACAGCTTGTACCACATTCATTGTCCATGCTTTATATGACCATTAAACTAAATCACGGCACTTTATGGTAATCCCATTATATGCATACAAGTGTATCAGCCCAGGTTATTAAAGGCTGCAAACCTTTTATGAGCAAAGTTGGAGCAGAAATCCAGATCCTGTACACAGGAGAGAACACTCAGCAGGACGCATGTCTGCACTGCATGTCCTGAGCGTAAGAGCAGCACTGACTGAGAGGCTATGCACAGCTCTCATCTAATGTAGGACAAACTAGCGAGTGTGTCATTTCATTTCACACCGGACTAAATAATATCCTACCCATGTGGCATGTCGACGCCTGCGTTTCCTCTCCGCTCAACACAAGCTGAACCATGAGTCACAAACTGGCAATGGCTGGGGGACATAACGTCATAAAAACAAACTCAATTAAAGCTGTAAATCTGCAGACTTTTTGATGCCATCTTTCTGGAAGGTATTGTGGAAGTGGTTATTCTAAAGAAATATATGACTTCATGTTAAAGTTAAAGACACACTGTGGAGTTTTGGACAATGCATGATGAAACAGTGATGTGAACAATACAACATATTGAAAGTATAGATGGTTCATAAGGAAGGAAAGAGAACAAGAAAAACTCCTTATTAAAAAAAAACGTTAAACTCCAACGACTGATTATCACCTGCACAAGTTAAAGTTGTATTAACAGTACGGTTTGAGTGAAAGTGAGCATACCTCTGAATAAATTAGACTTTACTGCACGAGTTGCAAAAGAGTTTTTAAATCCATGCTGCGAATGGATCTGGCCCTTCGTACATCCAGGACATGGTTAAACCGTACACCCCAGCGCGTGCACTACGCTCTGCATCAGCCAAACGACTTGTTGCGCCCTCGCTGCGAGGGGGACCCAAGTTCCCATCGGCGAAAACACGTGGGTTTGCTGTCCTGGCTCCAGGATGGTGGAATGAGCTCCCCATTGACATCAGGACAGCAGATAGCTTACACACCTTCCGGCGCAAACTGAAAACTCATCTCATTCGACTCCACTTCGAGCGATAGAACTATTAACAAAGCACTTGTATACTAATAAAGGACTGGCTTATCTAAAGCCAGTTGAGTAGCACTTGAAATGTTTGGCTCTATGAAACCTGATGTACTTTATGATTCTGTTTTCTTCAAGGTTGTGTCTTCTTGGTCGAATGTAGTTATTGTAAGTCGCTTTGGATAAAAGCGTCAGCTAAATGCAATGTAATGTTTTGATGTAGTTTAGTTCATCTTAAACTTCAATTCATCAACACTTTTTATCTGATGTCATTCTTCATTAGGGATGGGATCGTTTGAAATGTATCGATTCCGGTTCTTATCGATTACCCGTTTCGATTCCAAAATTGTAAAAGAAAGAGGTCAAACGTTTAGATAACAAAAATATCTTTATTCTTTTAAGCTTTAACTGACATGTTTACAAATAAAAAAATATACATGCAATACAAATGTATTGCACAATAGCTGTGCTTTATTTTAACTGAGCTATGCCCGTGGCTATTAACAGGCATTACACTGTGCCTCGTATTTTTCTTTCTTTAGTGGAGCCTCACTTTAGAGCGTTTACCGCGACCCATCTTTGGTGTTATGAAGCGATTGAGCTCGTGAACTGTCTACAGGAGGAGCGTCGCTTCGGGGCAACTGTGGACCTCTGTCGCCGCAACTTACATGATGCCGTTTAAAAAAAAATGAAGGGCGGTGCCGACCGTCAGCGTGCCGAGCCGGCCGTCAGCGTGCCGAGCCGGCCGTTCTGTGATTCTCCAGAACACACAGATGGCCAGTCTGCCCTTACCCTGGCGCCGAGGCGCAGACGGACCCGGTGGAATACAGGGTCTACCGCGTTTAGGAACCGTTAAGCAGAACCGAAAGTGTATTTTGTATGGGTACCCGGCATTTTCTTATCGGTTCTCATCTGGAACCGAGTTTTGGTTCCCAACCCTATTCTTCATTCACTGTGAGAGCAGCGGAATAAAACAAGGTTTCCTAGAAGAACTTAAGGTAACACAGAGCGAGTAGATAACATACAAGTTTACAAGTTATCGACTCGGCTGTACTGAAATATGAAAAGCCACTAATTCGTGTCACTGGATGTGTAAAATCACTAAAGACACAATAAAATACCACATGTCCCAAAAGATATGTTGCTCATTCATGCCGACGGCCTCTTATACAGAATAAAATCCTCTGGATATAGATAGAAAATAAAATGTTACGGATTGGACGTACTATGAAGTGTAATCTAACTTGTCTTACAGTAGCTAGTAGGGATACCAGAAACTGACCATGATCAAATTCGAAAATCGGACAGCCCTGGCGAATATTAATCGATTATTCGCCGCCGCTAATAATAAAAAAATATATAAATAAAATCGAATTAAAAAAAATTATTTTCGATTTTGGAGACTGTATCGAATATTCGAAAAATCGAATAATCGCTGGCATCCCTAGTAGCTAGCTCTTATCTCTGATGATAACCTTCTGATCTGGTAGGATAATAGATAATATGCGATTAGTGTATACTTAAAAATAAATAGTGATATTGGCATCATGTTAATACTCATACGATTATATTGAGTAAATAACGCAGGGCTTCTTAAATCACAACTGGGTTTTTTGGCTTTCGTACAGTTATGGTCACAAAATACTAACGTGGAGGGCAAGTCTGAAGACAATTTGTTTTCCAAAAAAACGACAAAATGCAGAAAAAGCTAATTTGATTTTCCTTCAAATGTTCTAATCATTGCTTTGTATATCTGAGCCCTAGTATGAATTAAATGCTACAGCAGAGTCTCACCCTCTCATTATTGCTCTAAAACACCTCGTCACAAATGTCATTTAGTGGTGAAATGTAATCAATAATCTCCTATTCGGCATCATAGAGCATCCAAACCATTGGCTGTATGTAACCAATGGAAAAACCTGACTACTTTCTCTATTCAGTGATATTTAAATGGGGAGCCTCGCACAGAAAGCCATAGATTTAGAAACCTCTCTCACGCCAGCACTCACCGATACTGAAGACGGAGAGCTGGGACATCATGGGGACTTTGTAAATGTTGCCGTCCCCCCCGGTGAAGGGCCTCATCTTGGTGTTCTCCGGCTGGAAGCGGGACTTCCACAGACCTTTGAAGTAGATCGCGTTGACAGCCACGAGTCGAGTGAGAGCCGGGTCCAACATGTCTGCTTTGATCAGGCTGGGGATGTGACCTGCGGAGGTATGAAACACGAGAACAGTTTTTATATTAAAGAAAGGACAAGAGAAGTCTCACAGAGGACAAGGCAAAATGCAGCATATTAGGACATCAAATTGACCACATTACAGTCAAGAGTTTAGTAGAGTTTGTTTGCTTTTATGCACAAACAAGATATAAAAGGACTTGCAGGTTAGTACAAAAAGAGAGAGGGTTTGTTCCTGAAACTTTCAGAGTCTCTTTACACAGAGGGGACACATGTTTATGTATACATGAGATTAACACATGCGTCACTTCCGGGCAAAAATGATGGCTCCGCCCACTTTTGGGGGGAAACAAAGCTGTCATTTGAATGGCGGTCAATACACATTGTGAAGTTTTTGCCAATCCGATCAGACATTTAAGAAAACCGTGGATTTTTGGATCTTCAAAGAGCCCGATTACAACGGCCAGACAGGCAAACAATTACATTAAATCATTGGAAATCGACGATCGGGCTCGATAATATAGCAGTAGGCGATCGATGTCCATAGATGAGTGTAACATCTACGTCACTTTAAGGCCCCGCCCACTTTTGGGGAAACCAACGCTGTCATTTGAATGGCTATCAAGCCTGAAGCCACAGAGCTCTTCTGTTACTGTCCTTTCTTCTCTGGATTTGTTGTAATGTTTGAGGTGCAATAAACGACAGCAGCTTGTTGGCATGATAAAACTATTATTTTCCGCCTCGCTCATGAGCGTAACAGATGGCGAAATGACTGCCTCGCCTACTGATTTTAATTTAACCATACATCGAGCCCAATCGTCGATTTCCAATGATGTAATGTAATTGTTTGCCTGTCTGGCCGTCGTAACCGGGCTCTTTGAAGATCAGAAAATCCACGGTTTTCTTAAATTTCTGATCGGATTGTCAAAAACTTCAGAATTGGTATCGACCGCCATTCAAATGACAGCGTTGTTTTCCCTCAAAAGTGGGTGCGGCCGTAATTTTCACCCAGAAGTGACGTAGGTGTTACTCTCATCTATAAAAGACATGGAAAAGTGTATTTTACATAATAGATGACATTTAAAATGTGGAAAGCAGAATTGGGGTTAAATGTACAAAGTGCCATTTTCTACCACTAGGGGTCTCTTAATCAAAACCAGTTTGGTTCAATAAAAGACACAAGAATTCAGCTGGAGCATATCAGGATGTGAAGTTCACCACATTACAAAGACAAAGCCTTATACTGTACTGATTAAAGTTGAATATATTATATTAAATGACTTTCAGGTTAGTATATGGGGTCAAGCCATTTTCTACCACTAGGGGTCTCAAACTAATAGCAAAAGACGTAGGTTTGGTAAAGTAGCGTTTCTCGTTGCATTGGTTAGGATAACTTTGTTGTTAATTGTTCAGGATGTTTCTACTAAAAAGCCATCTGCAGAGACTTCTTCCTCTCTAAAACAAACTGGTGAATACATCCTGTAACAATAAAGCAGTTTAATGTTAAATAAGATCCGTGTTTCCTTGATGATGATTGGCTGCTGCGAACACTTCCTCAGCTGGCTTCTCTGATAACTTTAGAAATGTAATGAAAGTCGTGTTAACAGACTAGATATCGTCTGAAATGTTGGATATGGTGATACATCGAAGGGAAAGGGTTTCTCTTCCTGGTTTCAAAGGCTGCATTCGAGTGAAGTGATATACATTTTCTGAACTTAGACTATTTGCTTTGGGCCAGGTAGACACACACACACACACACACACACACACACCACACACACACACACACACACACACACACACACACACACACACACACACACACACACACACACACACACACACACACACACACACACACACACACACACACACACACACACCACACACACACACACACACACACACACACACACACACACCACACACACACACACACACACACACACCACACACACCACACACACACACACACACACACACCACACACACACACACACCACACACACACACAGGTTGAGGTAATCACATCACCTGTTGATGGTAAGTGGGAGGGGCTATGGGTTCAAAATGGACGGTTTTGGCCCTGGAGGATGAGTCGGGAGTTTGTTGCAGAGAAGGCAACAGTAGAACACGTTTACTCTGAATGATGGACGGCCTGGTTTGGTCTTTTATTTAAGGTGTGCTGTTTCGCTATATTTTTTTGTTGCTGTAAATAAAGTTTTGTTGAGCTTAAAACAACCGACTAAGCCATGTTTCGAACGGACAATTAGAACCCCGTCACACAATACAAAAACTGAATGCAAAGAGGGCGATGGAGACCACACAACGCTGTCTTTTGTTAGTGTATCGATGGAGAGACCCTTAGTGTCAGAGTTAATACAATAACATTAGTACAAAACTGCCTGGCACTATGAAATGTTCTTAGTTTTTTTAACAAAGAATGATATATGACAATGTAAAGATATATTCTCACACCTTCTTTTGCTATTTAAGAATATGTTATATTATCAGACAGCTGTTATGTTAATCCACGTCTCCTACCTTTGGTCTTATTGCTGACCCACTGGTTGATTTCCTCTGCAGCTGCGTCGGGGCTGCTGAAGTTCAGCGCTCTGCTCTCACACTGGAAGTTTGCTTTGTTGGAGGACAGGAAGGCCTCTTCCATGCTGAAGCCCTGCTGTCTGAACAAGGCGTTGGCTATCAGCACGACGTCCTGGTTGGACTTTGCTATCAACGTCTTGTGAAGCTTCTTCAACATCCTGTACGGGCCTGAGCACAGAAAGTACACGTTTAATAGAGCGGTGCAGTGACGACTCCTAAAACCCGGACGTGAGTCAGCGTTTTACCACTTCCTGTTCCCTCGTCTCAGAGCCAATGGGATCTCTCCATAGGGTTTAGGAAAATAGCTGAAATAAGGTATGTGGTCAACACACATTGAAGAAACGGATCACGTTTTGTTCGACGACATTAAATCCATCAGCAGTGGCCCCGCTGGTGAAGAGTTGACGTGTCTGAAAAACGATGGTTGTTACCAAGTGGCTGAATTGGACTACAGAAGTCGTGGAGGTCGTTGTACGTCATTACGCCGAACACGTAAACACTCCTCTAAGTTAGTTTCTGTTCTGCTTGAAAGCAAGTCCCTGCCTCCTGCAAAGTGTTCAAAACAAACGCTTCAACTCGTTCCATTTAGAATCTGTGAGTTTGAATATGGATCTGAAGTTGGCGTGACGTTGAAGTCGTGCTGCTGGACTCGCCTGTAGTGCCTTTATAGCATAACTTTAGCATTTTGCTTCTGGAGACTAGATTTATGATTCAAACATTATAAAAGTAGGGTAAACATGTGGAGATTATCCGGCTGAACAAAACGTGCATTTATCAAACAGGTTTGTTTTCCACAGACCTTATTTCCAGCTATTTTCCAAAATCCTGTGGAAAAATCCCATCGCTTTGTGTCGAGGGAACCGGCAGCTTCCTTCAGGGTAAACACGTCATCCCTGCACCGCTCTAATGTTATTATTTATGATTTTCAATTCAACTGTATTTATATAGCCCAATAGCACAAGTCACATTTGTCTCAGAAATCAACAAACACGAATGATAATATAGTAAAATGACAAGATAAATGTGAAAATACCAATGAATACACAAAACACGATGACACAAATACGGTTAGAAATACAATAATTGAAATGCCATCAAATGAAGGGTCCATGAGGATGTTTAAAACCAGTCCTAACTGTACGCTGTACTAACGAGGAAAGTCTTCAGCCCTGCTCTTAAACGTGTGGACACTGTCTGCCTATTTAAATAATAAAGGTTTGGCCAGTAGTGCTAAATATCTTGTTTTTTTTGGAGTGTGAGTTGTAGAGTGTTGTGGAGATATTTGAACCCAAATCATAATCTTTCCTCAAAACTAACTAAGACAGCTTGTTGCCTAATCCTAAGGGTGTTTTCTGCCAAAGCCCAGCCCCAAAGACAAACTTCTCCCACGTGCAAACAGTTGAGTTAAAAGGAAATTGTTCCTACTGGAAGAGGCTATAACAACGTCTTTGGAAATGTATTTTTGGACATGCCATCTTATTCAAACCCCAAGGAAGTGTGCAGGCAGTTGAAGCAAATGTCCGTAGTGGTCAAACAGTGGTACTACACTCCGTTATCGTCCGTGACGTCACTCTGGCCCAAAAATACCTTTTCCCATTGACTTACATTGGGAATGAGACTTCTGTAAAGCAGCGTTTAAGTTTTTATTGCCAAATAAACTACCCAGTACAATCACTTGTACAGCCCTTATGTAAATTAGTAGGGTCTAAAAGTTGTAATTTGCACTAAAAGCCGACTCAAGAGTTATTTCTCTCTCCATTCATTTGACTAAGCAGAGAGCGGGAGACCATAGGCTCATGGGAGAACTGAAGTACACATGCTCTTTAAGGAAGATATTCACTTTTTAAATCTACAGTCGCTCTTTATTTACCACTGAGCAACTCTTACAGGAATGAACGGTCTCTGCCTCGGACGCTGTATCCAGTTGTCTTTATACCTCCATGATCCAATCACATTAGACAGGAGGCAGACATGTCTACGGCCAATAACTCTGCAAAACAAACCTAAACACTTTGTCTAAAGTCTGCCATAAGGCCTTCATTAGTTTCAAACAGTAAAATTACCAGAAATGACTGTATTTTAAACTATACCTTTAACCCAATCAAAAACCTTTAGGCTATTTTGTGTGTGTTTTCCTCTAACTGAAGCCTGCCTCCCACTTTAAAAAGTTTAGACTGATAATTAGCACTTTTTTTTCAAATGTATTTTGGGGTTACAGTCCCTTTAGACGAAGTATTTGAAGGCTCATCTGATTGCACCGACTTCAGTTCATGTGAAGAGCTAATGGACCACATTGAAATATTAAAACACTGGCAGACAGTCCACTTTATCAGCAGAACTTTCTCTGTTTTTGTTGAGTTTATCTTAAGTTGCATTGTTGGAGGAGCCTCAAAATACTTCCGTTCATCATCGCCATTGTGCACACGACACTAAAACCACCAACAAAAAAGGGTCTTTACCGTTCTTCTTGTATCGCAGACCGCTCAGGATCTGCTTCTTCGTCTCTCCGTGGGCTCCAGGCAGCAACATCCCCAGGATGGAGGCGACACCGTGGGGGGAGAGCACCACATTCTCCAGGGGTTTGGTACTGACTACTTGCTGGAAAACCCGAATGCCCAAATCAGAGCCACGTTCTGCGTAAGTCAGAGCCTGGGGCTGAACGCCCTTATGGCCTACGACGGTCAACGCGAGTGCACACAGGCACAACAGTGAGAGGTACTTCATTTTCAACTCTGCAGCACCTAGGAGGAAACACAACAAAAAATGTAATATTAGACCATTTTTGATTCAACAACGACCACATCTGTTGATTTGTTCTCAAGCAGAGACTCATAACTTGTCGTTTACATCTGAGTTTCGTTACAAGACATGAAAAAAACACAGCTTTCATGAAAACAAGCGCTGCAGAAAACAATGGTTTCATTATCGATGAACTGGTTGGTTTAAATACGGTTGGAAAATAGAGAACATTTCCATCTAGTTTCTTGTCCACTGTAATGTCTTCAATACGATATGAAACTGAGAAAGAGATGTCGAAAATAATCTTCATTTTTGATTGGCTGAGCATCATTCTCTAACACTTTTCCCTGAAAACTGAATTTAATGATTAATCAATTATCTAAATTGATGGCAAATATCTTTCTGTACTAATTGTTAGTTGCGTCTTTAAAGCACCTCAGCCTAGGGCTGTGCGATTATGGCAAAAATCATAATTACGATTATTTTGGTCAATAATTGATATCACGATTATTAAATACGATTATTCGTTGACTTTGAAAACATCCATTTATTGAACTTTAAAACAAATACAAATAATAATTTGAACAGTATCTTTTCAACTGTTGATTACCCTGAACTATAATTCAACTGAAAAAACAATACAAAAATAAATGATACATTTAAATAAACAATATCAAAATAATAAATACCAATAAACAAGATCAACACATATTTTGGAGCGCACTTCCACGAGCTACAAAACATATATAAATATGACAAATAAAAATAAATTAGATCAAATATGTTGCTGTCACTGTCACAACCTAGCAAAGCAAAATAATGGTTTTTTTCGATGATGTTGTTTTCGTAATTGTGGCAGGCCAAAATCGTAATTGCGATTGAAATACGATTAATTGCACAGCCCACATTTTAAACCTACATTAATGAGTAGGGAAGCCTAAAGTGTCCGGTAAAAACATACCTTGATGCATACAATACTCATATTTGAAATAAAAAAGGCTGTAAATAGTGCCAGGTTGAGGATGGGCCAACCATGGAGATTACATGTCACTTGTTAGACGCTTTTATCCAAAGAGACTTCCATACTCAGTACTGTGGGCAATCCCCACAGGAGCACTTTGGGCTGAAGTGTCACAACGACATGCTGACTGCAGTGGGGTTTGAACCCCTGATCCGAACACCAACGCACAACCCACTGCACCACACGAGATGGAAAATAACACGGTGTAGCAACAGTGACAAATGGATGCTTCACATTAATTATAGGGTAGCTGGCTGACATGATCGCACCTGTTTTCATGGGGTCTGTTAGAGCTAGTGTTGTCACGATACCAACATTTTGGTTTCGAAACCAAGTCAAGAATTGCGATTCAGATTATTTTTCCATACTTTTCTTAAAAAAAGGGCAACAGTCTTAAATGTAATTATTGTGCTCTATTTCACACCAGAACACAAACTTTTAAACTATGAGAACAATAAATAAAATGACAAGAATTTGTATTAAATACAATTAAGCATCATCTATAAACAATTTCGCTTCTGGCGTCTTTTTTGTCAACAAGCCGAGGCGCAGCGGCATAACACTCCCACTTGCAGCCATGCTTCCCGTCTTCTCACATGCTCTGGCAGCTAGCGCGTGCACGAGAGAGGGGCGGGACTTAGAGCGTGCTTGAGAGGGGAGGGACTTAGAGCGTGCTTGAGAGGGGAGGGACTTAGAGCGTGCTTGAGAGGGGAGGGACTTAGAGCGTGCTTGAGAGGGGAGGGACTTAGAGAGGTGCTTGAGAGGGGAGGGAGCGTGCTTGAGAGGGGAGGGACGAGGGGAGGGGAGGGACTTAGAGCGTGCTTGAGAGGGGAGGGACTTAGAGCGTGCTTGAGAGGGGACGGGACGGGACTTAGAGCGTGCTTGAGAGGGGGCGGGACTTAGAGCGTGCTGAGAGGGGAGGGACTTAGAGCGTGCTTGAGAGGGGAGGGACTTAGAGCGTGCTTGAGAGGGGAGGGACTTAGAGCGTGCTTGAGAGGGGCGGGACTTAGAGCGTGCTTGAGAGGGGAGGGACTTAGAGCGTGCTTGAGAGGGGCGGGACTTAGAGCGTGCTTGAGAGGGGAGGGACTTAGAGCGTGCTTGAGAGGGGAGGGACTTAGAGCGTGCTTGAGAGGGGAGGGACTTAGAGCGTGCTTGAGAGGGGCGGGACTTAGAGCGTGCTTGAGAGGGGAGGGACTTAGAGCGTGCTTGAGAGGGGCGGGACTTAGAGCGTGCTTGAGAGGGGCGGGACTGCAGGCACGGCTGCAGTGCAGGGAGTGGAAGCAGAGCGCTGAACACACACGGCTCTGATTAAAACAGTGCTTTCTCACCGGAGTACTTTCCCCCGTCATTCTTAAAGTACCGATACTAATGAAACGGAGGAATCGTACCGTTTTTAACGGCAGGGTATCGCGGTACCTTTCAAGTATCGGTACACCGTGCAACACTAGTTAGAGCCAGTATTTTTGGCGATGATGTCTGTAGTCAAGAAGACCGTTTGAAAGGACTACCTTTCCCACAGACTCTAAAGAGACCGACATGTTAACAGTTTATGTTCCTGTGAAAGTTATACAAGCCTACACAAAGAAAGAAAGGCAGTTTTATTTGAGTTGTTTTGACTATTGTAAAGGCCTGTTTTCTTTGGTGAACGTGTGAAAAGTGTATTTGGAGTAAACGCACATCGCACCATATCAAACACAAGCAAGTCATCCAAATGAGTCAAATAAATCTGATGGAAGGAAAACGCGTTAGAAATGTCTGTTTAAGGCGTCGAAGTGGCTCCATAGGAGGGAAGGAAGCCACGAGAAGGTTCAATGATGTGTAAAACATTTTGGATATAAACCTTTCAATAGTGTTTTATTGTCAAAGTGTATAGATTGTTTTTTGTCTTCATCGTCTACTGTATGTTTTTCTACTTTTTAAATGCCGTTTTAATTCCATTTTGAGATGTTTAAATTCTAGTATTGTTTATTTCTACTCTTTAAGAGGGGGAGGAGCTCCAACAAGCCGTGTAGGACAGAGAGTGAATACACACACTATACAGAGATGCTGAGAAACCAATGTGAGTTTGGAACAATGTAAATCTATTTTAGTAGACCTCAACAATGGAATTATGATCACTAGAAATGGCCATGACATGGAGCCTTTAATCAAATAGAAAGTTAAAAACAAACAATTGTCTGGCCTTCCTGCAGTAACTTTGAGGAACCACTAGAGGTCACATGTTGAGGACTTGAGGATTAGTCCTGCTACATCTAAAAATAAAAATAAACGATCTAAAAGCGAGTTTGATTCTGTGTGTATTTATTCATTTCCCTGTACAGCACTTTCGTCTGGAAGCTTTATTCTTTTGTATAATTGGGTTTCCTTTAAACAAAGTCCAGTATGTTCCTCTCCTTGACTCATCATGGCAAACTAGAAACCTTTGCTTATCCTGAGGCAATAAACAGAGCTCCGCAGGATCTGACTAGCTCTTACTCACTGTTTGATTACCATCCTCACATAAACACCTTACTCACCGACACTGGGCTCTTCTTTCATTCGGACTGAAACTAGACCAATTACAGAGCACGTTAGGAACATTATGCAGCACTAGTCTGCACCCCAATGAGGGAGAAGGGATGTAGTGTGCTGCTTCAGAGGACATGTAATCATGCTTTAAAGTGTATCTACTGGTTAGATTTCCAGTTACATCTCACAGATTTTTCGCGGGGTAAAAAAAAAAAACATGGCAGTGAAATGACACGCAGTTCGTTTTATGGCTACCCAAACTCCATTTATACAAATCTGGCAATTAAATCGACTTTGTTTTACCAAATGACTTCAGCTCCTGTACTAATAATACTTTAGTTTTGCAAAAAAAGTGAGCATTTGTTAGAATAAAAGCTGTAGCCCTGGTTCCCAAGTATCTAGCTTTCTTCAGGTGACACAATTAGAGGAAATGGGACTTAGTTCAAATATACAAATAGTTTAAAAAAGGATACACAATATGCAGTTGTTCGGGGACTGTGTATAATCTACAACAACAGGGTTTTGTTAGAATAATGCACCAGGAAATGTCTTTCATCTTGACTGACTTTACTTTACTCCTGAGACAATACATTCACTCACTGCTGCAGGAGGCCAATTATGTTGCTTTCTTTAAAAAAGTTGACCAAAAAAGAGTTAATTTTGCTCAAATGTAAGTGGAAGTAGGATGCACAACACGCGGAGAGTGGGTGGTAGTGTTTGTTAATATTTATGACGTGTTTCTCACCGTTTAATGTACAGAAATTGAGAAGTTTAACAAATAACAAAAAGCCATTTGTGAACACCACCATGCTTTTCTCATACAAAACCCTGCACCTTGGGGTGCTAAATAAAAATGGAGCTCAATGGGAGTGTGAAGTGCACTTTAACTATTACACACTGAACGTTTAGACCCGTTAAACTACATAAATTGACATTAATGTGACAGTAAGGTTAACAAAAACAGTCCTTATTAACTTACCTATCACGAGGTGACTTTGTTTTCCTCCCGCAGGTGAAACTGTGAAAGTGTATCACTCCGCTTGATACTTTTAAAACGAGGAATAAATCTTCTTCCGCGATGAAATATAAAACAAGCTTTATTTCCTGTGAAATAGAGAAGTGACTGCACCGGTTACTCAGAGAGAAGAAGACTGAGGAGTTTATTCGACTGAACTCCGCCTTCAAAGTACAACCAAACAAGAAGCGAGAGTCCGCGTTAAAAACAAAATAGTGCGATAAGTGTTTCCGGTGACTCTTCAAAATAAAACCTACAGGTTGTCGATTAACGTTAACAAAAATATATTAAAAAACTGTTTTAGACTTTTAATAATTGAACATTTTGCTTACATGTTGTTGCTGTATTTAGGCATATTTACTGCTGGCATTTTCTAAAAAGCAAACATATTGACAGACATGTAGAAGAGACATGGAGAAGAGGGGACACATGGTGATGTAGAAGAGACATGAAGAAGAGGGGACACATGTTGATGTAGAAGAGACATGAAGAAGAGGGGACACATGTTGATGTAGAAGAGACATGAAGAAGAGGGGACACATGTTGATGTAGAAGAGACATGAAGAAGAGGGGACACATGTTGATGTAGAAGAGACATGAAGAAGAGGGGACACATGTTGATGTAGAGAGACATGAAGAAGAGGGGACACATGTTGATGTAGAAGAGACATGAAGAAGAGGGGACACATGTTGATGTAGAAGAGACATGAAGAAGAGAGGGGACACATGTTGATGTAGAAGAAGAAGACAGGAGAACAAAGAAGAGGGGACACATGTTGATGTAGAAGAGACATGAAGAAGAGGGGACACATGTTGATGTAGAAGAGACATGAAGAAGAGGGAGACACATGTTGATGTAGAAGAGACATGGAGAAGAGGGGACACATGTTGATGTAGAAGAGACATGAAGAAGAGGGACACATGTTGATGTAGAAGAGACATGAAGAAGAGGGGACACATGTGATGGTAGAAGAGACATGAAGAAGAGGGGACACACTGTTGATGTAGAAGAGACATGAAGAAGAGGGGACACATGTTGATGTTCGATAGAAGAGACATGACGAAGAGGGAATGAATATGCAACAATGTGATGTAGAAGAGACATGAAGAAGAGGGGACACATGCTGATGTAGAAGAGACATGAAGAAGAGGGACACATGTTGATGTAGAAGAGACATGAAGAAGAGGGGAACATGTTGATGTAGAAGAGACATGAAGAAGAGGGGACACATGTTGATGTAGAAGAGAAGATACATGAAGAAGAGGGGACACATGTTGATGTAGAAGAGACATGAAGAAGAGGGGACACATGTTGATGTAGAAGAGACATGAAGAAGAGGGGACACATGCTGATGTAGAAGAGACATGAAGAAGAGGGGACACATGTTGATGTAGAAGAGACATGAAGAAGAGGGGACACATGTTGATGTAGAAGAGACATGAAGAAAAGGGGACACATGTTGATGTAGAAAGAGACATGAAGAAGAGGGGACACATGTTGATGTAGAAGAGACATGAAGAAGAGGGGACACATGTTGATGTAGAAGAGACATGAAGAAGAGGGGGTGGACACATGCTGCTGTAAGAAGAGGACAAGAAGAGACATGTAAGAAGGAGGGGACACATGTTGATGGTAGAAGAGACATGAAGAAGAGGGGACACATGTTGATGTAGAAGAGACATGAAGAAAGAGGGGGACACATGTTGATGTAGAAGAGACATGAAGAAGAGGGGACACATGTTGATGTAGAAGAGACATGACGAAGAGGGGGACATGTTGATGTAGAAAGAGACATGAAGAAGAGGGGAGACATGTTGATGTAGAAGAGACATGAAGAAGAGGGGACACATGTTTGATGTAGAAGAGACATGAAGAAGAGGGGACACATGTTGATGTAGAAGAGACATGAAGAAGAGGGGACACATGTTGATGTAGAAGAGACATGAAGAAGAGGGGACACATGTTGATGTAGAAGAGACATGAAGAAGAGGGGGACACATGTTGATGTAGAAGAGGACATGAAGAAGAGGGGACAAATGTTGATGTAGTAAGAGACATGAAGAAGAGGGGACACATGTTGATGTAGAAGAGACATGAAGAAGAGGGGACACATGTTGATGTAGAAGAGACATTGAAGAAGAGGGGACACATGTTGATGTAGAGAGACATGAAGAAGAGGGGACACATGTTGATGTAGAAGAGACATTGAAGAAGAGGAACATGTTGATGTAGAAGAGACATGAAGAAGAGGGGACACATGCTGATGTAGAAGAGACATGAAGAAGAGGGACACATGTTGATGTAGAAGAGACATGAAGAAGAGGGGACACATGTTGATGTAGAAGAGACCTGAAGAAGAGGGGGACACATGTTGATGTAGAAGAGACATGAGAAGAGGGGACACATGTTGATGTAGAAGAGGACATGAAGAAGAGGGGACACATGTTGATGTAGAAGAGACATGAAGAAGAGGGGACACATGCTGATGTAGAAGAGACATGAAGAAGAGGGGACACATGTTGATGTAGAAGAGACATGAAGAAGAGGGACACATGTTGATGTAGAAGAGACATGAAGAAAAGGGGACACATGTTGATGTAGAAGAGACATGAAGAAGAGGGGACACATGTTGATGTAGAAGAGACATGAAGAAGAGGGACACATGTTGATGTAGAAGAGACATGAAGAAGAGGGACACATGCTGATGTAGAAGAGACATGAAGAAGAGGGGACACATGTTGATGTAGAAGAGACATGAAGAAGAGGGGACACATGTTGATGTAGAAGAGACATGAAGAAGAGGGGACACATGTTGATGTAGAAGAGACATGAAGAAGAGGGGACACATGTTGATGTAGAAGAGACATGAAGAAGAGGGGACACATGTTGATGTAGAAGAGACATGAAGAAGAGGGAGACATGTTGATGTAGAAGAGAGACATGAAGAAGAGGGGACACATGTTGATGTAGAAGAGACATGAAGAAGAGGGGACACATGTTGATGTAGAAGAGACATGAAGAAGAGGGGACACATGTTGATGTAAGAAGAGACATGAAGAAGAGGGGACACTGTTGATGTGAAGAGACATGAAGAAGAGGGGACACTGTTGATGTAGAAGAGACATGAAGAAGAGGGGACACATGTTGATGTAGAAGAGACTGAAGAAGAGGGGACACATGTTGATGTAGAAGAGACATGAAGAAGAGGGGACACATGTTGATGTAGAAGAGAACATGAAGAAGAGTGGACCACATGTGATGTAGAAGAGAATGAAGAAAGAAGGGACACATGTTGATGTAGAAGAGACATGAAGAAGAGGGGACACATGTTGCATGTAGAAGAGACATGAAGAAGAGGGGACACATGCTGATGTAGAAGAGACATGAAGAAGAGGGGACACATGTTGATGTAGAAGAGACATGAAGAAGAGGGGACACATGTTGATGTAGAAGCGACATGAAGAAGATGCATGTAAGTCAATGTAATGTCCCCTGAAGTGATGTATACATGGTGTGTGTGTGGGTGTGTGTGTGTGTGTGTGGTAGTGTGTGTGTGTGTGTTGTGTGTGTGGTGTGTGTGTGTGTGTGTGTGTGTGTGTGTGTGTGTGTGTGTGTGTGTGTGTGTGTGTGTGTGTGTGTGTGTGTGTGTGTGTGTGTGTGTGTGTGTGTGTGTTGGTGCGTCCAGCTGAGATACAGATATGGGACTGTTGTGAATTAAACACTGAGGGGAAGTGGGGTCAGTGTGTTTTGGAGGAAGTTAAAGAGCACACAGCTGTCAGATGAATCCTGCAAGGCACTTCCATTTTTCCGTAGCAGATGTTGCTTTTAATCTTAAATGTAAGAGATTAAACTGTATAACTTGGCGTCTAAATTATACAATTTACCAGAAGAAGTGTCTTACTTACCGAAGCAAAATGAATATGATAGGATAGAAGAAGAAATTAACAGAGAATTAAGAAATGAGATAAGAAAAGCTAAAATAGCTTATAAGGTGGAACTCAAATACAGCAGTGGAGATCTTCGGGAAGCCTGGAGGGGAATCAAATCAATGTCCTCCATCTCCCACGGTAACAACAATGACAGGGGTAGGAATACCATTAACATTGAGGGAACAAATGAGGCAGACCTCCCCAATGCTTTTATCATTTTTTATTCTCGGTTCGAGAAAAATGATTTCTCCATAAACACCTCAGAGTCTCTCTCACCTATCTCAGACATAGTCATTGAACCGGATGATGTTAGGAATCTCTTAAAACGAGTCAATATTAGGAAGGCCCCAGGTCCTGACCAAATCTGTGGGCGTACACTCCAGTATTGTGCCAGCGACCTCTGTGGTGTTTTCCAGCATATCTTCCAATTGTCACTTGAGAATAGCCAAATTCCTGATATGTGGAAATCCTCACCTGTAATTCCCATCCCTTAGAAGCCTCATCCTAAACGACTTCAGACCGGTGGCTTTAACGTCATTGGTAATGAAAAGTGTTAAAGGCTTTGTCATGTCAGTAGGAGGTGAACTTGATCCACTCCAATGTGCGTATCAGGCAGGGAGAGGCGGAGAGGAGACAAAGCTTCTTATACTGCACACCCTCCACAAACACCTTGAAAAGCCACAAGCCCATGTCAGGCTTTTGTTGCTGACTTTTCTTCAGCATTTAACACAATGCAGCCGCATCTCCTGGTGGAGAGCCTATTATGTCATTTTAAACTGCCCGATCAACTTGTTTTATGGATTTTAAACGTTCTAACTAATAGAGAGCAGAAGGTGTCTGTCAATGGACGCCTCTCTGACTCTGTCATCACTTCCACGGGCTCGCCTCAAGGATGCGTTCTTTCGCCCCTGCTTTTTATAATGTACACTGATAAATGCAGGAGCATGCAAGACAACAGCTACCTGGTTAAATTCTCTGATGATCCCGCCCTCTTGTCCCTCCTTAGCGGCTCAGAATCAGGCGTGTGCTCTTGCCGATTTTATTTCCTGGTGTGATGACAGTTTTCTGGATTTAAATGTCTCCAAAACCCAGGAATTGATCATTGATTTTAGACGTCACAAGGATGTTCCTAAGGAGTGCATCATACACAATGACAAGGTAGAAATTGTCACATCATACAAATACTCGGGCACTATTTTCGATGACCACCTCAAATTTGATGTGAATACTGAGTGTATTTTGAAGCGGGGTCA